CCTGAACCCTAAACCCTAATCAAAGCAAAGGTCCCTCCCTGTAGGATTGAGTTGATCTGCAGCGTCTAGTCAAAAAGCACCGACATCCGTCAGGTCTAAAAAAACACTGGATGGTCTTCGCCTAATTTCCATGCATGCGGGGGGGGGGGGTTCTCACAACAGATCCCTTCTTGTAATCTGGAAGATTCCCTTTTGTAATCTTGAGGAGACTCCTCTATCCTTCCTTGAATCCTTGGCTTGGGTACCTGATGCTGAGAGAAACCCTGCGCCACTGTATATCATTACAAGCCAATACTCTACATGCACTCCAAAGGCTCATGCTAAGGTGCTTAAGTAGATAGAACAGTGTTCTGGGCGAAGATGCTCGGCATCCTAAGACCATCTAAGGACAAGAGCATGTCATACGTATGATTCTTCCCCCTCCAAAGATTGGGTTCGGGAGGTTATGGCAACACTTGCCAACCATAAATCATGAATGCTAAAAGGCCTCGAGCCCTGGATCCTGAGGTCGAAGTGCCTCACACAAAGCAAATATGTAGTAGTTTCCATTTTCTTTTCCATTGTCCCCATATAACCCCTATATATATATATACATACATACCCCCTGAAATCCCTATAAACCCCCTATATAACTCTATAACTCATGTAGTTTCCATTTTCTTTTCCATTATCCCCCATATAACCCCCCAAAAACCCCTAACCTAAAGGTTTAGGGTTGAGGGTTTAGGGTAAACCCTAAACCCTAAACCACGTAAAGCTACACCCTGGAGTGAGCCCGCATCCCACCTGCCGGACTACTGCTTCGGCAGGGAAGCCCTTCTCTGCTTCCGGCTGATGAGCGTAATAGTAAGACCTCATCTTCAGGTTTCGGAGGGATATGTTGGGGTTATATGAGGATGATGGAAGAGAAAATGGAAACTGCTACGGGGTTTAGGGTTTAGGGTTGAGGGTTTAGGACGTTAGGGGGGCATGGTTTAGGGTGCAGAGCTTCGGGTATAAGACCTGGCAAGGGCTGTGGCAAGGGCTGTAGCAAGTTCGGGCTGCAACTCTCTTATTTGGGAGTTTGCAAAAAATGGAAGGGCGCGAACATGGCACAGTATACTATATTACCTGCTATAAACCCAAACCTTTACAACCCAACTTCCCTGGGTTGTGCATTCTCTGCGCATGCACTCTATATCGGGTTTGAGCTGTGAACAAAAGCAATGTTTCTCGCTTCAACAACTTCCGTAGCCGTCGGATGTCAGCAGCACGTGTCTGGTAGCTGTTTACACTGTGACCACTGGTAGTAGCAGCAACAGCAGCAGTGTAGTAGAAGTAGTAGTAGTAGTAGTAGTAGTAGTAGGAGGGGTAGTAGTAGTAATAGTAGTAGTAGTAGTAGTCGTAGTAGTAGTAGTAGTACTAGTAGTAGTAGTAGTAGTAATAGTAGTAGTAGTAGTAGTAGTAGGCGCCCCCTTTGCTAGGCACTACCGTTTTAGTAAAAATTCATTGTAGACAGGTT